ACAGAGGAGAGTAATAACTCCAAAGTCATATGACAAACACATGTAGTGAGAGAAACACAATTGGCAGTGTAGCAACAGAGGAGAGTAATAACTCCAAAGTCATATGACAAACACATGTAGTGAGAGAAAAGATGGACAGCGGTGTAGCAGCAGGAAAGAGGAACATTTCATAAGTCATATGACGGCATATGTCGAGAGTGAAACATTTAAAAGGGTATCACTATGGTAGAGTAATAACATAGGTCATATAACCTGCTTTAACTATCATCTTAAGAGTACTCAAAATGATAAAATCATGCTGACCTGTCTATAAAGACCAACCTGTTTATTTCAGCTGATTTTTACCTCTTTCTTCAAATATGAAAGTTATCCAGCAATCCAGACAGTAACAAACGCTCCAATTGCAATTTGAAAGTTTTCACTCTTTTCGGTATTGTCAAACAATTAAGAGGTTCTAGAAACGAAATCGAAAGGTTTAAAATCTCTAAGGTTTAGTCACCTGATTAAGGAAACATAACCAGAAGATATATTTGTTATTTACTGTCCTAAACACTTATTATTGAATTATGTTATACCTTTATATACAGGTAATAATGGACAAAATCTAAACTAGATCGACCCGATTTATTTATCCGTTAAATTTGTTTTAATTAATATCATTTATATGAAATTTTACATGATCTATCAATTTAACACTCCGTGCCAATTCTATATCTAAGACACCTATAAATACATATCATGTGGCTTCATATATGAAATAAAATATTTAAAACATATTGGAATGTGTCGCTTTAATTTTGAGTCACTTAAACCAACAGCCCACGATGTGAAGCTTTATCAATAGTTAACATACATGTATAATGGCCAACATGAAATTAATCATTTCATTGATAATACAAAATAAAATTGATTAATCAACTTGCAAGTATGGACCAATTTGACAGACCGAACTGAGATTTTTTCTGATTTCTATAGAGGGGAGATATGATATTTGATCAGTTTCTATATATCAAAATGTACAGCTCTGAATATGTTATATGTATTATACAATATTTCAAAGGAATTAATTATGTTTTATTATGTTGATTCGTTAACATTACGAAAGCCCCCGTAGTAACAACATTATCATGAGAAACTAACTATTTTATGAATTCAAAATGATATCCATTCAAAAACTCAGTTTCTGTTGACTCTTTTCAAATAAGAATATTTCAAATTATAATATTTTAAATTTTAATATTACAAATTTTGATATTTCAAATTTTTAATATTCCAAATTTTAATCTAATGTTAATTTAAACACTAGATTACTGTTGTATCTTGCCAAAAATATTGAAAGTCAAAACAATCAATTTAACTCTACATTTGTATATATATAATAAAAAAATGAAAATAAGTCGTCAGAAAAACAAACAATTGTCAGTATAAGGGAGAGGGTTTGTCTTTTGATTCAGTTCTTTTAAGAAATCTTTGTTTGTGAATAGTAAACGTTTCGTATTTCTTTATGAATTTTAGTAGTTGTTAATGGAGATATTCACACAAGTGTAAAAACATTCTTAACATGCGATATTGAAAAAAGTGTTTATCTTTAAGTAACAGGAAATATTGATATATTTCCAATATTCTATAATGCTAAATTTTTCAGAGTAAACGTTCTTTTTTGATTGGTCAGTGAAAGTATACACACAATTGTGTTGTTTTCTGACTATGGAACATTTTAACATGCATAAACCAGAAACATTTTGTTTGTTTGTTTGTTTGTTTGTTGTTTTTGCTTTTGTATGGTATTAATTAGTTAAGTTTTCTTTTACCGATATACAATAAATATAAACAATGATCTGTACACTTCTGGTCCGTGTGAATAAATAAATGTCAGGTCAGTGTGATAACACTATATATGTTGAGTCAGTGTGACAACACTATACATATATCAGGTCAGTGAGACAACACTATACATATCAGGTCAGTGTGATGACACTATAAATGTCAGGTCGGTGTGATGACACTAGAAATATATCAGGTCCGTGAAACAACACTATAAATATCAGGTCAGTGTGACAACAATATAAATATCAGGTCAGTGTGACAACACTTTATATGTTGAGTCAGTATGACAACACTTTAAATATCAGGTCAGTGTGATAACCCTATAAATGTTGAGTCAGTGTGACAACACTATAAATAGCAGGTCAGTGTGACAACACTATAAATGTCAGGTCAGTGAGACAATACTATAAATGTCAGGTCAGTGTGACAACACTAAAAATGTCAGGTCAGTGAGACAACACTATAAATGTCAGGTCAGTGAAACAATACTATAAATGTCAGGTCAGTGTGACAACACTATAAATATCAGGTCAGTGAGACAGCACTATACATGTCAGGTCAGTGAGACAACACTATAAATATCAGTTCAGTGTGATAACACTATAAATGTCTGGTCAGTGAGACAACACTATAAATGACAGGTCAGTGTGACAACACTATAAATGTCAGGTTAGTGAGACAACACTATAAATGTCAGGTCAGTGAGATAACACAATACACTTATTAATGATTATTTTTATTTATGAAATATACAAATATGAAATCAAACTTGCTTTACAGAAACATACATTATAACCACTTAGATAAGCTATCATATATGTATTACTCATAACAATGGACGACAGACACGTACCCTAACGTGATATGCGTATTGTGTACTTACGAACATAACCTAATTCATCGTACGAACCCTAGTATACACATACTTTTCTAAATATGATATTCTTGTGTAATTACCTAATTTAACACAAACCTTCCCTTACATGATATACCTGTAGTATAATTACCTAGTACAGCCGTGTATTCACAAGGAGACTTATTTGTATCGTTGAATAGCGTACTTGTTGGATTATTATCCGATATTACAACCCAAGGTAATTAATTTGCACCTGCGTGGCCCATATTCAAATACATGTAAATAACCAGTTTGCATATTCAACGATATTCATATTACTGCCAAAATTTGTCAGTATCAATAGCTAAGTGAAATATATTGATGAGTATTGCCCTGAGATATGACCTTCACAATAGTCAGACCTATTTAAACGTTTCAAAACCCATTGTACCCATACATCAAT